AGTTGCGCTGGGGCTTCTCAGATTTGGAGTTGCGCTGGGGCTTCTCAGATTTGAAGTTGTGCTGGGGCTTCTATTTCTGGACACACCGAGACTACACACTTTTGCGGCAGATCCAACTGTGGCAAGTTCCAAGGGAGGAGAAGGTGGAACTTCATTCTCTGAGGAGTCTACACTGTCTTCACTTGAAGAAAATGTGCCCCATTTGTGGGAGGATCTGAAATGATAAATCAGAATTTAACAAGTGGTTAAAAAAAAAAAAAGAAGGCTACGGTCTAGTGAGCCAATTTACTTATTTATTTCAAGTTTACTGTGAGAGATACAGAAATAAGATCCAAAAGATAAAACGTTACAGTTGAACCAATGACAACCAATATGGTTAAAAAAATAGTAATCTAGTTCATTTAAAGTAGGAATGTGGCAAAATCTATAGTAAAGCTCACAAGTATTAGCATTTTTTCCTGTGTAATTTTCCATTCTTACAAATATGTTGTTCCTTTAAGCACTGAAGGATGAGAAAAAAAGTAATGCAAAGAGAACCAAATGGGTAAAGGAATTGAGAGCTGCTCAAATGACAACTAGGAAGACGGAAGATTTAGAGTTGTGTGTTACACAAGTCCCTGTTCCACACTACCTTCTACGTCGCTTTTCTGGGATCTCATAATCCGTTTGAAGATCTGATGTCGCTTCTGCCCTTGCAAGCTTTCGTCGTGCTTCTCCATAGCAGTCTTTAGAAAAGAATTTTCAAAAAAAAGGATTAACACATTTGTAAATCTAAAGCTCACATTTTCAAAATTTTCATACAAGTAAATGTTTGTCACCTGCATTTCCAAGAACACGCACACAGCATGTCTTCCATGAAGCATCTGGCTGTAGTTGTTGCTTCACTTTTTGTGGGATTTTTTTGTAAGGGATGGGTGGGTCCCAGCCAAGCCAGCATGCATGAGACCCACCCATGCATGCTGGTTTAAGTGACTGTGAGAAAGATTATTAAAAGCCCATGTACATAGAATGAAATCACAATAATTACTCTTTTTAAATCATGCAAGTGGTTTTATTGTGTTGTTTTGATCATTTATATTACATGTAGCCACATACTATTAAGTGAAACTGACATTGATAACACTTAAAAAAAAATATATATATATTATAACTTTTCCCCTCCACATCTAGGGGGGCAGCGCCCGAGCGCCCCCTATGGGCCGGCCGCCACTGCATGCTTCTCAGAGGACAGTGTTTCTCACAAAAGTTCTCTGGCCTGTGAACATCCCTGTGTGTGAGTGTGCTGCTCACACTGACCTGATGACCTCGGTGCTTCTGATATCACACGTGAATGCTGCACTACACATGCTGCACTGCTGCTCCCTGTCTCCACTTCCCCTTTTCTTCACACTGGTTTACAGGGCATGCAGAGCTTTACCTCCGCTGAGGAGGAACCAGTTTGGATCTCTACAGGTGGCCCACATGCCAAAAGTCTTCAGCTGGGATCTGATGGCCAGCACTGTTTTCCTAAAGCTTTACTCCCATATTGTGCTAGGTTGACACATGGGTGGGACCACGTGTCAAAAAGAGGGAAAGTTACATTAATCTTGAATGCACACAAAGC